AGAAGGTGAAGCAACCGCGGGGAGGATGACGGAAGTCGTTATCCATTGTAGGAGCGACCAATCCCCGATCAGAGGGAAGTCCGCTGTACTCTCTGAAGCCATCGATTTCGGTTGCAGGAGCATAAGAAAATGGGATTAGGAACAGCTAACTTCGCTACGGAACACGCTGCAATCGCAAGCTTAACTGAAGGAACCATGATTGATGAATGCGCAGGGGTTGATCTACACAGGGGTATCTAAAGGCCTTAGGGAAATACCTCGAGGAATTAAACTGAGTCGAGAAGACTCGGGGGCGCGAGGGGCTTCAGGGTCCTCGAATAGAGTGCCCGATAGTAACGCCTGATTGTACACGTTCCGGTCGATGCCGAAGGGCGAGGAACTAGCATTAATAGACCTCTGTGGCTCGACATTTTGATAAGCACTCGTTCTAGTACGAGCCATTTGAACAGAAGTGGACCCCGAATAATTGTCTATTTCATGAGCAAGGGAACCAGACACGGGGTCGGAGGTAGAAGTGGAGTTGGGATCTAGAAAAGAGAAGACGACGGTCAATAGAGAAATCTAATGGCAGCCGCAATTCGACTCCAAGGGAAATAAAACCATAAAAGAGGCGAGCAAATCGACCCGACAAAAATAACGGAATAAAAAACCCTTGGGAATGCATGAACCATCCTTAACTTATTCAACTCAAGGGGGGAATATCGAACCAACAACAGTCGAGAAGAAGCAGAAAAATCGATCTCGAATCGATTACTGAGCAAAAACACTCGAAGAAATAAAAACTCTGCAACTAAAGATCTAAGGAGAAATCACTAGAAATTTACCCAGAAAATCCCAGAATCTGGTAAGCATGTAGAATCTGAACATATCGTCCGAAAAAAATAAATAAATAAATAATACATAGTAAGAAATCAAAGGGCGAAAGGACACTTACACATGGTGATTGTCGGAAAAGTCCTAGAGAAGTCTGAGAAGAACGCCGGAAAACGAGACGGGCGGCGGAAAGCTTGAAAAGTTTTATTTGCCGGAGAAACAGAAAGTTTGGGAGCTCTGAGTGCGAAAAAGTACAGACGATGAAAGAAGGAGGATATTTATAGAGGGATAGAGAAACCCCAGCCTTTAGATTAAAGATAGGACCAACGGTCCAGATGGCGCACGGAATACGAAGCAGTGGAGAGAGAAAACGTCTCATCAGCTTTCAAAATCCCTTTTTCAAATTTAAAATTTGAAAAAGATTCAGACTTATCCCCGCGATTCGGAATTTGTTGGGAAGACGAGTCACTAACGAATCGAGACAACAAGCGGATATGATTCAGGGTAATGACGAGTAAGCAGGAACAGTAAAAAGATTCGAGCGAGGTATTCAGTCGACAAAATCCACTCGAAAGCTCAGAGTCGCTTCGAGTGATTTTCGGGGGGACTAGATGATATAGCCATACTGTCGTATAACGGCTCATCCTGTCTCGGTTCGATTATCGCCGAGTCGACTTACCTTAAGTCGACTCCTCCCATATATCTCCTCATGATGATATATCCGGTCGAAGGTCTGAATGCTTTTCTTAGTCGACCTCTACCATGTCGACTAGTCTAAGTCGATTCCGTCCGAAAGGATGAATAAGTGTATTAGGATCTATTAGCGAGTGGGGGATGATCTAGCCGGTTCGGAAGCAAGGATATCTCAAGTCGACCGAAGTAATCTCAGGACTCACGGATCCCCGACGACTTCTATTCACTTCAGCATACCAGAGGAAAGCCACTAAGGGA